TCTAAATTTACCCTATTCGTAGTAAATACTATACAATTTTACTACCTAATATTAGCTATACATATATCCAAACTAACTATAATAATAATAAATAATATTAAGGTTAATAAAAATAATAAGGAGAGGACGAAAGAAATCAATAGAATTAAGAATAAAGATAAGAATAGAAATAAGAATAAAAATAAAAAGAAAAGATGGAAAAATAAGTAAGGATATAATATTTAAAAGTATTAACGCTATATTATTAATTTTAAAATTTATAAACTCTTTAATCGCTCTATATACGCTACCGCTTTAATTAATATATTAATACCGTTCGTTAATAAAATGCTACTATATAAATATGGACGTAAATAATTAACTTATTATAAAATATGTAAATATTCCAGTTATTAGTAGGATAAATTAAATTCTTCGGTATAAAAACGGTCATAAAACGTGCGAACAGTCTCGGTAGTACTTTACTATATATACTCAAAATTAGTAAGGGCGGATCGTTTAATAATTTACATATTACCGCTATATTCCTTCTCCAAAAAAATATACAAGTCTTTTTAAATATGAATATTATAAATAAATTTATAATTAATTTTCTTTTTAAAGGCTATAATATATTTAATTTATATATCTTTCAAAACATTCTCCATATAATTAACGGCGAAAAAAAGGGGTATCCGGGGGTATTTAAAATATGAATTATTAATATCGAAAATAAAGTTACGCAATTAAGAAGAGTTTTCGCCGGTAAATTTAGAAATATTAAAGTTAAAATAATGTTTAAATAAAGTAATAAATTAAATTGGTTAAGTAAATATAAGAATAGTAGTTACTATAATTTAAGGAGTAATAATGGTAATAGGGAAGGTCGAAAAGCGTATTTAATTATAAAAGAAATAATTTTAATAGTAAAATTTAAAAAGAATAAAAAGGTAATTACCGAATTAATGTTATTCTAATAAATTTGCGAAACTATTTTAATTATTAAGAAATATATAGGATAGGAAGTAAATTAAAAGTATCTAAATAATTGCTATATGGAATTTAAAAAGCTTTTACTTCTATACTATAATATTATTCTCTAAATAATAAAAAGAACTATACGAAACGTACGAGGGGGTAAAGGAATAATTACCATCCGAATCATCATCGTCTATTTTTTTAATAATCGGTTAATAATATTAAAACAAAAGAGGAGGCTATTATTAAGGGCTATCGTCGGCTATAATAAGAAGAATAATAAATAATTCTTACGTACCGGAAATAAAAGGAAGGGGTTTTTCGGCGGTCCAAAAGACGGATCGTCTGCTACGTATTTATATCCTATCAGTAACGGTTCAATTCCTGTAGGAAGAGCTATTAATATATTAGGATTATAGAAGAAAGTAAATTAAAATACTTACGGATAGCGTAAGTACGTAGGGGACGTTAAGATAGGGGAAGGATTAAAAATATATTAATAGCTAACCACGATAATTCTAGAGGCGAATTCGACTGGCTATTTATATCGTTGTAAACTCTATCCTATAATAATTAAGTCCGCGACGGCTCCGAACCATTCCAACGCTATACTACAGCGCTATACTATACGAATATTAGCGCTCTTTAGTACTAGTATAGGTCCCTAGCGACCTGATAAAGAGATAATTAAATTTTCGTTTTAAGCGAACCTCTTAAATTACCAAGTATAATACTTTCTTAATTAAAATAAATAGAAACATTAAAGTTTAGAACTATTAATATTATAAAATATATTAAAGTCTCTTTATCTTCATTATGACCAATTCTATTATTATTTACTTTCGACGCCCTTATAGTATTAAAAAGCCCGTTAATAAAGAAGCTACGGAGGAATAAACGCGTAAAAAAAATAAATCGGTCGCGGACTTACTTTAATAACCTAAACTCCCTATCCTTAAACTAATTAACGAGCAATTCTACAAATGATTAATAGAGATAATTATTAACACAAAGCTTCTATATAATATCGTTGAAAATAATACTTTTAGAAGGTTATTAAAATTAATAAATAATAATATAATTAAAAGATTACTATTTAAATTATACTATATTTTAACTACTTAGATTTTAAATGAATATACTATTTATTTTAATAAATTAAAAGAGTACTTAACTAATATATATTTTAAAAAGCACCTCTCTTTCGATTTTTAAACTTCGCCAAATAGCCTCGCTATCCTTTCGATCTTTATTTATTACGTAAATTACTCCTATACCCTTAGAAATAATTGACTAAGTCTTTAGGAAGTATACAATAATTATAACGGCGAGAATATAGTGGCTACAATTCTTTAAATTATTAAAAAGTTCGAAATCCGCACTAACGACGTTAATTATTTTTAAAGCAACAATATTGACGCTAATAATCGTTGTATCTACTATATTTTTAAAGGACTCTTCCCTTCTCTTACTATTAATAATATCGAGTACGAAATTCCCTAGCGTCATTTACATTATTTTGATTACATTTTAAATTTCGGTGCGAAAGTAATTATAAAGGGAGGGCTTCCTCGTGCCCCCGACCCTAACAATCTATTTACCCATCTTTCTACTATTAAGGAAGATACTTTATTCCGGGGATAGAGGAGGGTTAGACCGGTTAGTCAATTATATAATACTATTTAATTTATTCAAAAAAGCCTATAACGCTACGCAAAATTAAAAAAATTATATATTTTAACTGTGGCAATACCTTTGACGAGGAAGTATAATTTTAATTAAGCGCTATTATTAATAATAATAACCTCTTCCCTAATATTAGCGTCGTCTTTAATAACGCAACGCACTAAAACTTTAATTATCGTATAATCCGTCGCACTTAAAAACTTCGAAAATATATTAATTATTATATTAGGGAAATTATTAAATATTTTAATCTATCTAAACAATTACCTAAAAACAACCAGCTTAGCACTAATAATTAAGCTATTTTTATAATTATTATAGAAGTAATAAAATAATTTAAAAATTTTACTAAAAAGTTCGAAACGAAAGCTCCTCTCTTTTTAATAATTATCTTTAACCTCTACTACCTTATTCAGAGACTCCGCTATATAAAGGTTAAATTTTGGGGAAATATTATATTGAAACCATTCGAAGGTCCTTAAATCCTAGAATTAAATATTTATATAACTACCCCTACCTCTATTCAACTTTAACGCGCTATTTGTATACGCACTCCCCTAAACTCCTCTTTTTAAATCAATTCTTCCTCTTAAATCTTTAATTCCTAACTACTTTAACCCGCTTCTTCTCGACCCGCCTTTTCTCTCCCCTCTTCTTTCCCCTCTTTTCAAACTACGTCCGCCTTTTCTCTAAATAATAATATCCCCGAAAACTACGCTAAAGACCTTACTAACGAAGGTATAGAAACTATTAATTATATTATTAATAAGGTCGTCGAAAAATTAAAGCAATATAGAAATAAAATAGAAGCGTACCCCGCGTACTAAATTACGTATATTTTATACCCTAACTACCGTAGGAAATAAGTTAATAAATAGCTTACTAATAAAGAATATGAAAATATACTAGTAAATTTCCAACTCATTTACAACATTAACTAAGCTAACCAACTCATTAAAAATCTATTAATTAATACTAGCAGTTAATAGGTTGAAATAATTAATAATAATTAGTTTATCAATTACGATTTCTACGATGCCCTCCCCTTATAATTAAAGAAGGAGGATAAATTATACTACTACTTTAACCAGAAAATATACGCTATTAATAATATATTAGGGTAATAGAAAATAAATTAAAATTTATACTCTCGATTATTATATATAATATTTAACTTCTACTCTATACTTTGTATAGTAAATAACTATAAACGCTCCTTTAGTAGTACCAAATTAACTATCGATAGCTAGAAATATAGCCTTACCACTAAATCTATTAATACTATTAAGAGCTTAAAGTTTTAACTACAGTCTAGCCTTATAGGGGATGCTTAATAAGGATAGACAATATATACGACGTCGTAACCGTCTCAAGGAAGGGATTTATAACTATTGGGAACTTTTGGGGGTTCTGGGAAGGTAGAAATCGTAAGAATTAGAGTACTTTTGAGCCCAACAACACCAAAAACGTGATTTCGAGTATTAAATATGGTCAAATAAATACAAATAAATATAAATCAAATCAAATATGGGGTCGTATTTAATTTGATTTGACTTATTGCCAGCGCTGTACCGGCCTTTGTGTGCGCACCTTCCTTGTTACCAAGGCTCATGGAAATTAGTTCATGCGTTGCATTCTCAGTTGCCTTCTTCCTTCCCAGTACATCAATCAGCCTTCTTTCTCTTTCACACACTTACGTGCTCAACGGTATGTAGGTAGGATTGGACTTGCGTTTTGTATTCCAAGACAAGGAAGAAAGAAGTGAAAAAAACGCAAAAAAAAAGAGAAGGAACTAGCCGAGCCCGGATTCGAACCGGGGACCTTACCGATACGTTACTCTACTGGGTCCGAGTTATAGCAGGTGGCAGCTCCATAGCGCGCTACAAGCCAGCGTCCTTAGCAGGGTTATGTGCCTGGCTACGGTACCGCCTACGGTACGTGTACGCCAACACCACACCGCTCGGCCATTGTTCCATTGTAGGTTAAAATACTACCAAGAGCACCTTCCTTTTATACCCCAAGCACACAGGGGCAATCATCCCAATGCTCGAGGGCCAGGTGTCACGTGTGCATGCAGCACTGCTGCCACCATCTGTACAGAGTTGAAGGGTCGCCAAAACACCCAGCATGGACAAACTGAAATATGTTGCCGAAGTCGCACCAGGCCCTTTGTTCCGTTGAAAAGGCCATAAGAAAACAACAACATACGTGGGAATAACTTCACGACGCATGGAGGAAGCTCAATCCGCCATAGTTCATAACCGAACATGTCTTTATTTCTCATTTGAAGGCATGCCGGACATCGATTCATGCGTCAAATATTGTACCAGAGCCGTTGTTTCCCGTCCTCGACTCCTTCACGATGCCTCCGGAGTGTACCTGCCGACATCGCCTCCCGACCCAGCCCACGACCCGGTGAACCCCTCGTTCGTCACAATCTCAGTTCCGTCCTCCAACCTCAACGTCGCCCACGTATCCTTCGAGCACAACCCAAATGCCTGAAGATTTGCTGGTGTCTTTTCTACCCAATGCATATATCGCTGGCACTGATACTGCCCCGCGCACCCTTGATATCCCGGCCCGCTGAAGAACGCCCACGAGGCACTGGCATAAGTCCGAATGTCGCTTCCCCCATTGACGTAGTTCGCAAATCCCATCCGACACCTCTTCTCGTTCTCCTGTCCCGCGCACCAGCTAAAGTCCGGATCGCCCCATCCCTCCACGTCTGGCGTCCACGGGTGCGGCACAACTTGCACCGCGTTGTCTCCCTGGTCGTAGTTGGTCTCGCTCTGCAACAGCGTCACTAACACGTTTGATGCCTTCCGCAGATTCAACTGGTACAGCCACCAGTGCTCCGATCCCAGCGCGTGCAGCCAGGTCCCCTTGGTCGCTTCGACGAGAACCCCGCCCTTTCCGGCAATGTTGCTCCCTCCCGGCGACAGCGGTTCTTCGGCGATGTGGTCGGCTACCCAGTTCCATACGTTTTCGAGATACACGGAGGACGTCGAAGCGAAATGGATACCCAGGAACGCGGCCTTGCACGGCTCGTCGGTCGTGGGGTTGACGCACTTGTCCGTTAACGCCTTCGCTCCCCGGGTTCCGCCGACCGTAACCAGTGAGTTCCAAATTGCCACGTCCCCTGGCTTCGCACCGGCGAGGTTGAACTGCACTATGATGGCTCCGGGAAGCACGTCCGATACGGTGAAACGCATGTCTTGGATATGAGCCGTGCCCACCTCGCCGGGGTTGCCAACCTTGATGATTGGTTGGGGACGAGCGCTGTCCTGGAAGAAGGAGCCGTAGCCAGTGATGGTTGCCCATGCTTCACCCACGATACGAGAGCCGGAGGGGACGAAAAGGGTCGAGTCGACGCGGTACTTGCCGAAGGGGAAGTAAGCGATCTTGTTCTGCCACACGGCGAGACGAAGGATGGCGTTGAGAGTGGAGGACTCGTCCCGGGTGTTGTCGCCGAAGACGAGGTGGCCTCCGTTTTGGAGAGGGTCCTTGACGTTGAGAAAGTCGCGGACACTGAGCTCGGCGTAATTCGGTGCTGGGAGGTAGGAATAACGGCCATCGGGTCCAGCGGTCAGTGTGGAAGGACGATTCAACTTCGCCGTTTCAATCGGCTCGTAGATTGGATTTCCGCCGACAGTGTTGCCGTATGAGAGCTGTGCTACGTACGGTCTGGTGGCCAGAACAAAGGTACTGGGTCCTTCGACCGTGTTCTTGCTTTTGCTGCCGATGACACGCAGGTTCTCGACAAGGTAGTTCGGCCAGTCCGTCGTCTTCAGGGTCGTACCGGAGTTGATGGATGTTGCATCGATCAGACCAATCCAAGGGTTGCCGGCGACGTGGTAGACGCCCATGCCACAGCCATCAAACGTTGGGTTGACGATGCTGATGGTGGCTCCACCGTCGATGAGCATTCCTACCGCGTTCTGGAAGAAGTAGATGCTCTTGAAGACGGCTTGCTGATGTCCGTTGTACCAGATACCGTTTTGCCCGTTTTCGATACGAACGTCCGAGACTCCGAGAGTTGAGCCGCGCCCGAGACGAATACCGCTGTGTCCCTTGCCACCGATTGCCGGCGCCATACGGATCTTGACATTCTGCAACTGGGCTCCCTGCGCAACGCCCCACCATAGTGCTGTAAAGGCTTGGCCTCCCGGGATGCTGGTGGTGTCGAGGATCAAGTTCTTCAAGGAGACAGCGAACGATAGTTCCCCGGAGATGCCAGTTGCGGGGTCTTGGCCAGAGATCAACGTTTGATCCCCGGAGAAGGTCGAAGACGCTTTGATGACGGGTGGCTAGGGGTTCACAACGCGGTCAGCATCTAGACTCTTCTACTCAAGTGGGAGAGGGCCATCGTCCTTACGTCTGTTGCGTCGCCCATCAGAATTGTGTCAGTGTTCATGCGAATGGTCTCGGAGATCTCGTATGTTCCCGGCGGTATGTACACGACCTAAAAAGCTCATCTGTCAGCATTCTTTCACCTTCATTCCCGACTGGGAGTCAGATGGATTGCTTACTCGTGGCTGGGAAGCAAACCATAGGCCGTGTCTCTTTGCACCGTTCGTCCCCGAGTTGATCGCTGCTTGGATACTCGCCCCATCGCCCGGTTTCACGGCTTTGAAGACCGCATAGTCTAAATCTCCGTCAAGGTCGGGAGCAAAGCCGCGGACGAGTCGAGTGTTGTGATCGATGTTTGAGTACCAGAACTTGGTCGGTCGGTTGGAAACACTTTGGGTGTTGGTCCAGTTCAGGGAGACTGAGGCGGAGATGTCCAGGGACGGGGCAGCAACCGCGCTGCTCCCAAAGAGAGCCACAGCGGCCAAGAATTGCTTGATCACCACCATCTCAAAGCTGTGGTGTTGCAGAAGCAAAGAGTGGCATTCCCCTCCGGACTTTTCGACCCACCAGCTGAACTACGATGGGAATTGGCAGATCTTATGCGAAATCGGCACTCACCGACTAGTTCGTCCCATGATGGAGATCGCATTGCAAACGCATGGAATTGCTCCTACATCCGATGAAATACCGATGTCCTTGTCGAAGACCAAGCCCACTGAGGCTCAATCCTGTGTTTGGTGATAGGCCAATGTCTTACCCGACACCCTGCCACCATGCATGGACTGAGTAATTGAACGTCCCATCACCTCCACATCGAAGATTGTCTTAGTGTTCTTGGGGGAATTGGTGCTGACTACAGTGGATTCAGCACAGGACTAGCTGCTGATCACAGCTGACAATACCGGGTTTCCTTAGCTGGAGGTTCCATCGTTTCACCATTTCGTCCAATCCGAGGGGGCCTCGCCGTCGGAAATGGCATTCCACAATCAGGCACCAGTATTTCCAACATTTCGACTCGCGCCACGAACTCGGTTTGGGAAACATTGGGTTGCAGTATTGATCGTAACCTGATCTCGGTATGCAAGCTGTCACCCCTGTCATTTTTGTACGCCTCCTCGCCCAGATAAGCTTAAGGTTAGTGCACGATTCATTTCTGTCGCTAAACTGGGAGTCTTTGGGGGTTCGGGTTCTCGTGCAACTGTGATGGTGTCACACGGCGGTGCACCTCTGCACGTTGCCAAGATACCGCTGTTGGCGGAAAAGGGGACGCCCCTGGATGTGAGTGGACCCATTTCCTCTGGTGTTTTCTAGCAAGCGCTGCAGGCGACAAGTGGTTGGTTAGCGATGTAAACAAACCCCTGAATGGTGGATACCGACGGGCTTGTGTGCATCTGCTCGGACAATGCGATTGCAATTGGGCCAAGCAAAGATCACTGGGAGTTGTCTTCAGGAACAAAGTCTCGACACAATTTCCAGCTTTATTCACATGGACCAGTGTCATCACCATGACGATTCTAAATTATGGCAGGACCACAACCTTTCAAGCAGCCTATTGACACCCCCCAGAACTACCATCACAGCCAAACATGCGAGACCATGGGGAGTCGCAATGCACATTGTCATTCAGAGCTCTCAATTGTCATGTCCGGTCTATGCTATCCACGGGAGGCTTTTCCCACTACCATCACCTCTGCCCAACGCCAATTCTTTGGACATCCACCACTATGGGGTGAAATCCTTAAAACCCATTTGCTGACATTCTGGTAAGTATCAGAGTACAGAAACGCATTGATGCATGGCAGCTCTTGTTACCCAAAACCCTCGGGTTCCCCAGCAAAGGAGTCAAATTCAGAACTTGGCAGAGTCCAAGATGGAAGTGACGGAGAGGGATCTCGACTCGGTATGTATATCACCGAAAATTACGGGCGTCCATTCCCGTGAAGCCGGGTCATGGCTCGCTTCTAGCACCGTTTTGCAAGTCACGAGGGTCATGGTTGCAGCATCAAGCCACCAGCAGTCTTGGCCCCCAGCCGCCCTGTCCCGGCCCCACGCCGCGCAAAAGCGGCCGGAAGTCCCACCTCCGCACTCTCCAATCTCCGGGATAAATACAGCGGCTCGTCCTCTCAACTCCTGGTTCTTAATATCTCCCGCTCACCTGCTCACCACTCAAAACCATGTGGAATATTTTTCCCTGAAGATCGCGTCTACACCTCAATATCCAGCCAATGTGTGCTACTCGTGCCCAGAATCGTTCTACCCCAATCACCACCACAACTGCCGGCAAACCATCACCTCATGTGCTCGACGCCCGCCAATGAGACGACTACGGCATTCTTGGCTCCTATGAAGCCGTCGGTGGCAGGACCCCGATGAGGGGGGGGGATTAATTGCCATGTTGATTGCATTGCGAGTTGATGCGCCCATCACGAATCCTCAACCGCTGCTTCACCTGCTATTGCTGGCATTACTCAACGACCAGAGTCCGGCCGAGAACCTCCGCCACTGTTCACCAAGTCGATATGGAATGTCGGAAAGATAACGAGGAACGGCTGGGCGACGGTAGGATGGACGCAGAGATCAACTCGGGGCCTTGCTTTGAAGGTCGTGCTAGACTTTGTAACCTGGTTGATCTCTCGCCTCTAGGATACTAACAATGGGATCTATACAGCAGTCCAACGAATCAGCCATCAAACTTCCCCGCCTCTCGGGTACAGACGCACTCCACGAAGCCTTCCCGAGCTTCCCCAGATTCCCCAGGCTCACTCATCTCGGAAGACTGCCGAGCCAAGCTATCCCTTAACGGTCCGGAGGTTGACCTCAATCAACTTGTGGAATGTCGATTGGTCACAGCGATGTAGATAAGTCAAGTTGCCAAGCCAAGTTCAAGCAATCAAGCAAATACAAGCAATCAAATCGGGCTGTCCCTCCAAGTCAATCAAGCAATTATAGACCGTCAATTTGATTGACCTTAATTGGCCGCCCGGCAGTATTATTTTTTGGTAATAAAAGTTGTCGATTTTGCCGGCGGTCTGGGCTTTGGAAGCGGTATTTGAGGTCAGGGTTAGGGTTCGCTATAGGCCCCACTATTCTTGGCAATTACTTGATCAATCAAGCAATCAATCAACTCAACTCGATTACTTGACCCACTCAATCAACCTCAAACCCTTGTTTGATTGAACTTGAGTTATCTACATCGCTGATTGGTCAACCAGTCCGGGATATGTGGGAAATCGGATAACGATTCCATGAAGTGTCGAGCATGTTTCCAGATCTGGCATGCCTCATCGGTTACAGGCTAAGAAGGTCGTGGCCAAATGGAGCGGCGAGTCTCTCCAGCAAAGAAAACGTATAAATGAGGGGATGCACCACCCAGGATTCGAACTTGGATCTACCGGTCACGCCATCCGCCTTCTTGACGACGTTCACACTACTACTGTTCTCTCCAGGCCATCATAATGAAGGCCTATCTCGAATACCTCGTTGCGGCTTTGCCCCTTCTCGGGCTCGCCACCGCCCAGCAAGTCGGCAAGCAGACGACGGAGACACACCCCAAGCTGGCATGGAAGAAGTGTACCGGCAAGGCCAACTGCAGCTCCGTCAGCGCCGAGGTCGTCATTGACTCCAACTGGCGCTGGCTCCACGACTCCAACGGCAAGAACTGCTACGACGGCAACAAGTGGACCAGCGCCTGCAGCAGCGCCACCGACTGCGCGTCCAAGTGCCAGCTTGATGGAGCTAACTACGGAACTACCTACGGAGCCTCGACCAGCGGTGATGCCCTCACCCTCAAGTTCGTCACCAAGCACGAGTACGGCACCAACATCGGCTCGCGCTTCTACCTCATGAATGGCGCATCCAAGTACCAGATGTTCACGCTCATGAACAACGAGTTTGCTTTCGATGTTGATCTGTCGACTGTCGAGTGCGGCTTGAACGCTGCTCTCTACTTTGTGGCTATGGAGGAGGACGGTGGTATGGCTAGCTACTCTAGCAACAAGGCTGGTGCTAAGTATGGTACTGGTGTAAGTACTTGTGAACCACATCCTGGGTGTGAAGATTGGGGCTGACAGATTTGATAGTACTGCGATGCACAATGCGCTCGTGATCTCAAGTTCGTTGGTGGCAAGGCCAATGTTGACGGTTGGGCTCCGTCCACGAACGATGCCAACGCTGGTGTCGGTCCTTACGGTGGTTGCTGCGCTGAGATTGACGTTTGGTGAGTTCCCTTATTATCACAATCAGAGATGTCCTTCGGGCTATTGCTGACCGAATGTCGAATGGAAACAGGGAGTCCAACGCACACTCGTTCGCCTTCACGCCGCACGCGTGCAAGACCAATAAGTACCACGTCTGCGAGAAGGACAACTGCGGCGGTACCTACTCCGAGGACCGCTTCGCCGGTCTTTGCGACGCCAACGGCTGCGACTACAACCCGTACCGCATGGGCAACACCGACTTCTACGGCAAGGGCAAGACCGTCGACACCAGCAAGAAGTTCACGTATGTCCCTTCCCCTCCCCTGTAACCCTTCATCCACTTACCCACATCACTAACAATCCCTTCCTACCAACAGCGTCGTCTCCCGCTTCGAGGAAAACAAGCTCACCCAATTCTTCGTCCAAAACGGCAAGAAGATCGAGATCCCCGGCCCCAAGTGGGACGGCATCCCGTCCGACAACGCCAACATCACGCCCGAGTTCTGCACCGCGCAGTTCAAGGTGTTCGGCGACCGCGACCGCTTCGCAGAGGTCGGCGGCTTCGCCCAGCTCAATTCGGCCCTGCGCATGCCGATGGTTCTCGTCATGTCCATCTGGGACGACCACTACGCTAACATGCTCTGGCTTGATTCCACCTACCCGCCTGAGAAGGAGGGCCAGCCTGGTGCTGCCCGTGGTGATTGTGCGCAGAGCTCGGGTGTCCCGGCGGAGGTGGAGAGTAACTATGGTAGCTCCAAGGTTATCTACTCGAACATTCGGTTTGGTCCTGTTGGGTCTACTGTTAATGTTTAAGTACATACGGATATCGGAGGGCTTGGAGGATTCCACTGGAAGCTAGGTATAAGGTATCTTGTGGTAAAGCGGATGGGCTAAAAGTTGGTGGTTGGATGCTCGGAACTCCGGGGAGAGCGAGGAGGGCGAAAAACTCAAGGGGATCGGATCTTCGATTCTGTTCCAACGCATGTCAATTATGCCCTTGCCGAATCCACATTCAACTGGTCTCTTTGTTTCTTTGCCCCTTGCCCTTGCCAACTCCCTATGACATGGTGCGTTGATGGATAGATGTTGGGCTTGGACTGTTGGCGCCAACCGCCCACCCGCCCGCCCGTTATAACCAACGACAGCTACAGGTACCGCCAAGCAAAGCACCTGTACATGACCGCCGCAGCGAAATGCGCCACGTAAAGAAGCCCTTTGTTCAGCGAGTCGGGATCAATTTTCCTTTCGGTAGGTCCGTGACATGTCGTTGGAAACATCGTTGGGGATGTCGGTCGTTGGGCGGATGGAGGGGAGGGTATCGTTGACTTAGATAGGTTGCTATCGTTTCCTCTGCCTTTAACGCAGGCAGTGCGTTAGCGGGGTATCCCAGTGGGCATTGCGGAGCTGCGGGGGTAAGGTAGGCAGCACGGTGTCAGCCATATTTGGCTTCTGAGTCTTACGTTGCGGGCAGGGAAACAAGATGTGCTGTACCGTGAGGCTTGTGTTTGTGCGAGTGCGATGACGGATTCAACGATGAAAGATTGCTAGGTTGCCAGAAAATGGGTTCGGTTGGTGAGTTGGGAGAAGAAAGGACGTTGAAAGTGGATAGATAGAACGCTGCCAGGGGTGCCGTGAGCGGGCGAGTGCAGAACATGTGGACCAGCAAAAGAAACTGATGCAGGTGGTTTGTGCACCAACATCAGAGAAGACATTTCCTTTGGTCGCAAAAAGGAGCGTGACACCAACCACCAAAGCATCCAGGTCACGCCCCGTTTCCTTACCCAAGAACTTTTCGTTGGCAAAAAGAAGAGAAGCAAAAAATGGAGGCGAGGGGTACGAAAAGTGCAAAAGATTTGGACGAGCTGGGAATCGAACCCAGGACCTTTCGCATGCTGGGAAACATGCTAAGCGAACGCTCTACCAACTGAGCCACACGCCCTGTGGAACCTTATTGGTTGTTGTTGGATACTTGTCGAACGTGGGCGTTATGAGGAAACATTGGGATCCGACGTCCTCTTGGCTGTGCATTCCCCCATGACGCCGAAGCCAGTCTCATGCAATTGGCGCAGAACACTTCGAACGAAATCACAATCTAGGAGGGCGGAAAGAATGAATCAAGGATTATATAAGGGTTTACAGATGTCTCGAAAGCGACGAAACCGGACTACAGGCGTCAACCATCTCCCTGCTCATGCACATCCAAAACTAGAACATCAAAGCTCTTCCTCCTCCACAGGTTCTTGATCCACATGTTCTTCCTTTAGGCCCTGATCGAGTGCCCTCTGAGCAGCGTTTTAGACCGCCAAAGTTAAGGTTTTAATATAGGTATTTTCTTTTTTTTCGCTCGCTAGCCCAGATCTAAAATTAGGTAGGTATAGCCAAGCTTTTGTAACGCTACTTACTTTAGTCGATAAGGTACCGATTAATATAAGTATTTATACTTTCTTAATAAGGAATAGATGCTTAGACTCTGTAACGTTCGTAGTATTAAGATCCTTATATTCTGCCGTCGCTAGAATTCTCGTAAAATGTGCGTTTTCGTATTTGAATAAAAGGTATAGTTGTTAAAGTATAAATAATTTAATAAAATGCGGCTTTACTATAGTGCGGGGTAGTTTGATTTAGGGATTTTAATATTATAAATAGTATATTGCTATTAATACTATATAAATTAAGTATTCTATTTAATTTAACGACGTTGATATAGACCCAGGTAGAGTTAATTATATAGTTTTTACTTTTATTATTATTTTTATACTTCGTATTATCCTTCGAAAAGACTTTACTTCAGTTTATAGCGACGATTCTAGATTACTAGTAGTATAAAAGGTTATACGTACCCTATTATATAATTTAGACCGTTAATTCGAGGACCTCTTTCGAATAAATAAAGAAATATTTAGTACTTTAATTGTTTAATTACATAATAATATTAATTTAGAATACGGTAAATATTATATTATTAATTAGAAGGTTATATTTATATTCTACGTAATAGTTTATGGAGCCGTTTACAGAATTACCGCGTACTTTTTTAAAATTAATTAGAATTCTATATTTTTAATTATTAACGACCTTTTACCCTAGTTAGTAAAATTTTATTAGGCGCTTATTCGATTATTAGACGATAATTTCCTTAATCTTATTATTGAGTTCGATCCTAAATTAAACGCTTTTAATAATTATATTAGCGCTATCGATACAACCTATATTACAGCTTATATTAAGAAAAATCATTAATTTTATTAACGTAATTATAAGGGTATTACTATTTAGAACGTTTTTACTATTATTGGTTTCGATTATTTCTTTTATTGCGTTTTAACCAGTATACAAGGTTCGATTAATGATATATTTTTTATAGTCTATATTTTTAGTTAATTATTTCGTATCCTTGGTAACCGATATTACGTTATAGATGCGGGGTTTAATATTCGCTAGGGAATTATTATACCTTTTCTAATTATTAAATATTATTTCGAAGATTAGAAAAATACGGATATATCTTTTAGAAATTACTAAAGAATTATATAATTTATATTATACCTATATACGTATAATTATTAAATAAGTCTTTAGGTATTTAAAGCGGTATTAGCGTATTATTTACATTATTCTACCTAAATATATTTTATTAAAGTAGGTTTCGTTTCTATATATAGTAATTAGTCTCTATAATTTTATTTTGAGGTATACGTTGGACGAAAATATTTTTACAGCGGCGGACTTTATATTAATAGAAAAAGCGAAAGAGAGGGCGGTTAGTTTAGAAAATAAATGACCCCATAAAATACACTATAAAGTAATGGGGTTAATATTTAATAATTGGATTACTTGGAAGCAAAGTCGTAAAATAATATAGAATCGATAGAGTCGATAGAATAGAATAGAAGGGAGAGATAGGAAGAAATGGGGTAAAGTAGAGAGAATTAGAAGGATGTGCCTTATTAAATCGATAAAATTTTATTAAAATTTTCTAATTTCGATGAAAAAAGACGATTTTTATTAATAATTTCATTAATATAATAGATATTGTATTAAAATATATATAAAAGTATAAATTACTTTTATTAAATATAATAATTTAGTATTTACCCCCTTTATTAACTTTTTGTTTTTAATCTTTTTCGTTTTTTATATTTTTTGAGCCTTTTTTATTAGTATATAGTTCTACTTAATCTACTCCTCTATATATATTTCTTTAATCTCTTTATTAAAATTCAATTATATATTAGTAATTAACGGTTCCTTTATTAATTTCTTAATATATTTTATTATATTATACTTTTCTAACTAGTTTCTAAATATTTTCTAAAGGTTTATAATAATTATAGATAGGTCGCCCGCGCTAGGGATTTTTACTAGCGATATTACAACGGCGATTATAAATTGCTTAATAACGTCGGTTACTTTTATTTTTTATTTACGGGATAGTAGGGTCGAATAGGTATTATTAAATAGTATTTTAACAAGGGTATTCGAGGAGGAGGTAATAATAGAACTTAAATTAGGGTCAGTTATTATATATCGTTTTATTATAAGGGTTATTTTTTTTTCGGTTGCGGTAAGGAGGTTAATAAATTCGTTATCGTCGTTCTTATTATCCCCCTCCTCCCCCTCTTCATTATTATTAAAAATTTTGAAGTATTAATTATCCCTAATAATAGGTATTGAATTCTTTTAATTCTCTTACGTTTTTGATAGTTCCGCAATATTTAAGCTTATTATCCGTTCGCGAAAAAAGATATTCTTATATACTTTTTTATTTCTTAAAAATTGGGTACGAAATTTTACAATATTATTACTTAGGGTATTATACACTATGTTAAATCGATTTTATATATTATTATTAACGATAAGTATTATAATTCTATAATTATAATCTACCCTAGAATATTCTATTAAGGTTTTAAATTATTAAAATCGTTTCCTCTTAGTATTTTACTTATTAGAAATCGTCGACAGCTTTTAATTAAATTGGGGATAGGCTTTATCCGCGCGTTTTTTTATTTAGATTCAGATTAGTACGTACGTTTTACACTTTATATTAGCGAATACTTTTTTATTCTTATATTAGAAGAATTAGAGTATGAATTAAGTAGTTATTCTTTTAGTATAAGTAACTTTCTTTTTCTTAATAATAAGTTAGCCGCTTAGTAGTAAAATTACCCACTTCCCCTTCTCCTTCCCACTCCCTTTAATTGGAGTAGGAGTAAGTATAGCGATAGGTATAGTAGATTAATTAGGATTAATAATAGTATTAAACGAAGTAATATTAGTAAATATGGGATTTAAGGATATAATATTAGTAATAAGGGTTTTTAATAATTCCTTTTCCTTATAGAAAGAGGTAGTGAAAGAAATAAGATAGATAGGGTAGTTGGTTACCGTATTAGCAATAATTTCGCTATTGTAGTTACTTAAAGATTCGAGTTTATTATCGTTGGCTTTTTCCTTAGAATTAAAAAGTTTATTACTAATATTATATAGCGGTCCCTCCCAGTTAGCCGCTATAATAACTAAATTAATAATATCGTTTTATATCGCTATAGTCATAGATATTATAATTAGTAATATTATTATAGTAACGAAATATACCTAGTAAATATTATTATATATTCTGCTAAGATATAGGGCTTCCCCTACTTCCCCTTACGAAGGCGGTTAGTCGGACTTAGCGATGCTAAGATAAAGAGGGTAAGCCTCTATAGTAGATACGAGAATGTAGACCTTATACGGTACGGTTACATCGCCACAGAGTGGAGGCACATTAAGAAGGTTACAAAATCCCTTAACTTTCATCTCCATAACGCTGCTCAGCGGGCACTCGATCAGGGCCTTACGGGCTCTTCCTTCACCGGCTTTCCCTCTACAATCTCCCCATCCACAGGGTCTTCCTCCGCACTCTCTTCACTCGATTCCACCTCGAAGCTCACTGTCTTCAGCGGCGATGGTTTCTTTGGCTGCAACGTCAACACCTCCCACAAGCATGTTGTCCGCAGACGTTGGGTTGCAAAGAAATCTGTTCCCAGCCTAGAAGGCCCAATGAGAGTTGCGCAACCAACAACATGATTCTTGCTAAACCTGAATCCCCTGGTTGTAGAACTAGACGGTAATGTCGACGAGGAGTCCCGCCATGAGAAGTAGAAATGGGCTGGAGACTCAAAATGATTTTGGAAGAGAAGCTGAGAAGGTTCCTGGATCATGCTGTATTTTTGATTTGAACGTTTTTTTCTTCCTTCCTCCTGTGTACCTCTATACGCGAAGAAAAAGCTAAGAGAACGTCAAGGGGTGCTCTAGGAAGTAGCCACCATTCTCCTTTCTCTCTTTGTGAGGTTGTTGGATGTTGAAAGTGGACCAACGAGGGGTGGAGGGGTCAAGGGACAAGGGTGCAGAACTCCCCCACTACCCCCACCAAACCCCACCACCACACCCTATGATCCGGACTGTCGGGTTCCACTTGCCAACTACACTTCACCTCATCAACAATGGAAACAATTTCTTCGGTCATGATCTTGACCAAGGTGCACTGTGAGTAAGTCTGAACATATGTATGAGTCAACTACTGAAGGTTTGCTTAAGAATTCGGTGTTTACTGGTGAAACTCGGAAGCAGGTACCTTCTATGACTCCTTTCTGCTAGCAAGATTATGTTAGAATTTTGTGTGTTTGATGGATGATGTCAGGCCTTGGACTGGTTCTTGACTGGCATTTGTCGATGACAAGTTCCTGTTGTTAGCAAGCAGAAGCTCTGCGGATTGAGCATCACGTATAACTACGTGCTTTGAGACAACTTCCCTTGCTTTGTCTTTTGGTTGGTAAAGTCATCGACTTTCGACACATCAGGCTTGGCTGTCGATTCAAGGACAGGCGTGAGATGCAGAGCATGTATGCGTTAGGCGCACTTACGTAAAGGCGAGGGTCAAAACAGTCGTCTAAGAGTAATGTTATATACAGAAGGCCTCGTTCGAATGGTCAATATGGGCAGTTTGGAGTACGAAACTAGTATGGTCCTAAATACAAGGTCTTGTGATTGGAGAATTCGGGGATTCATTGCGTCAACCAAGTTGAACTGTTGAAGGGTGGCTCGCCAAGTCAAATTGGACCGCATTCGAGCGCATAGTAGTCAAAGACCTCTCTATGCAAAAAAGACGGGATGCAGTGCGGTGAGTCCTGCCCTTCGTTCAAGTCCCACCCGTGTTTGTGACCCCGCTTTTGCCAGCCGGACGCACAACCCGACCGGGACACGCGGTTCCAAGGTCCGAGATTTGTCTGGTCTCGCCAACTTTTTTGACAAGCCCTCATCTTTCATCACCACCCTTCTCTGCTCTTTTTCCCAACCCATCGCTCTCTTCACAACCACCAGTCGCTTCGCTGTGCAACCAAGCCCACAGTCTTTCTTGCTCGATCCAATCAAACGCGCAGAGAACCACGGCGCCAGATTACGCCATGTCCGAAGGAAGCGAGACAACAAGAATCCGCGACGAAGCAGTGCCAGCAGTGGGTCAGGCCGCGCAAGGGAGCACTGCTCTAAAGCGCAGCAAAAAGGGCTGTAAGTGCTGCCCCAAAACCTGTTTATCGACCTGTCCTCTTCACCAGTGCTACCTGTTCAATTACCTGTCAAAGTCGCATTAACATTGTTCGGACAACTCGAAATGGCAAGGCCAAACTAACAATGGTTTTGAACAGCGCCTTACTATTTCCGCGGAACGGTACGAATCGCACCAAGCAGGGAAGCGGCCCTACGAGAGGCCCTGGAAGCTATGAAATTTGTCTCGACAGCACAGAAAACACAACTGTGCATTTTCGCAGACGGCTCCTTCGACCAAACCACAAAGGACGGAGGTTACGCGCTGGCGCACACGGGCTTTGCACCTGCGCCTAGTGAGGCAAGCGTCGAGCGACAGGTAGCCAAAGGATGGAGCGCCATACCTGTCACAAACAGCCCAACGTGTGAGGGGCTTGCCATTGCCCAGTCTTTCAAGGAAGCAATGAAGGAGCTCACGATTTTGGAGAAACGTGTAGCAACCCGGCCTGTCGATACAGCCAGTGCTGGAGGTCGCATGGAGGCTTCGGTAATAACATTTTCCGACTCGAAAACCGTTCTTGAGGCAACAAAGAGGGGAAAGTTCCCGAAAAGCATGAAACACATGGGCCATGCCATCATCAAATTTTCGGAGGAGTTGAAAGAGAAATTCCGTGGACCCAGATCCAGACTGAAGGTGAACCTAGTGGTTCACTGGATACCTGGCCACTACCACACAGTTATGCCCTTGCATAGCGTGGCAGACAGGCTGTCGCGCAAGTGCCGACAGGATAGGCAGCCGTTCCTCCTTGTAGACGACACATACGTTCAGTAGAATGGAGCGGATGGCGTTTACGAGGAGGTCAAATCCGCAAAGCGATACAAAGAAGAAAGGCTCATGCAATGGCGAGAGAGGGAGCAGCAGGAGTGGGAAGAGCCGCAGTCACACCAGCCTGTCGAAGAAGACCAACCGGAAGGTCAACAACTTTACCAACAGGAATGGCACAACCAGATGCAGCAGTATTACCAGCAGAATGCCAATTACTGGCAGCAGCTAAGCCGCTGGCAGGACTGGCAGAGAGCCCACGGGCACCAAGCGGGCCAGTGGTACTGGGATGGCAATGCCAACCAGTGGGTTTGGCAGTGGGACTACCAGAGGCCCGGCGAGACTGGTAACGGCCAGCCGCCATCCTAGAAGGCTTTTTTCTCGTGTTCTTTTTCCAAGATGTGGAGAAGACAGGGCTGTATGTCGGGGTCAATTTTTCTTGTTCACGGATAGGCGTGTGAGAAGTGTCTCAGAACTCTCAGTTGGGCCAGCTTCATTAGCTGTTGTGTACGAAGTATGTACTCAATGTGTACTTCTGTTAGGATATTGTTTGGGTTGCCAAGGGGCTTAAATGGATGTTACAACATTATGGGTACCCCTCGGCGTTTTGTTTGCTTCTTCTATTTAGGTACCAAGTCCGAATCCAAACTAGTAACTGGCAAGTGCCAAAACCGTAACAAGCAACGGTAACTTTCTCACTAAGATGAGCTCGTCCTCATTCGCAGCGCCGGTTGCCGCGCTGGACCACCCCATCATGAACAACATGATGAAGGAGTTAGTGGCGATGGGCGACCCCTTAGAGGGCTATACATCGGCGCCAATAACGTATACCAGCGTTTTGTCGTCAGATAAGTACAACGATGAGCTTCATCGATATTGGTATGTGGCCTGCCAGATATGTCTGGACTACGGACCACAAGGTCAAGAACTGGGACGCTGCGGCACTCGATATCGCAGACCGACAGAACGCCCACAGCATGACACTTGCGGTGCGGGCCATCGTCGAGCTCTTCCGTATTGTAAAGCGCGAAGATGAGGTTCACCGGCAAATTCTCACCTTCTCCGTCTCGCACGACCACCACGTCGCCACTTCAAAGAACACACCCGAGCCGGCCAAGGGTTTTTATCAGGACTGCCTAATCTTTTATGCAGATGACGAGGAGACCATCATGATGCCGCAGGATGAAGAGATTTTCCGATCCTCGCGGATCTTAAAAAGCTGACCACCGTGGATGCCCAAATCCAACTCTATGTTGGGTTCGGTAAGCGCCACAGGGATGGTCACCAGGAAGCCATCAACAGGCGCCGTTTTCCGCGTGTTGGTGGTAGCGGCTGATCGAGCTAGAGTCCGACTGTGACCCTCTAAGCCGGCATATCTGGAGATCCTAGGGTTGTGTATTAGTGTCGTTGTTCGCCAGGCTGTAGTCGGCAGGGGTATATTTTGGTGGATGTACCTTTGGACGCTTCAAGCTACATGAGTAGCTCCCTGACGAGACTCTCTAAACGCTTAGTCACGGTGCCGAGCTCCTTCTCCACCTCGATGGTACACAGCGCTTGTTTGCGAGATGTAGCGAGTTTAACTTGTAGACTCATGACTTCGTGTTGAAGGGTGGGCTGGGGGATGGTGCGCTTGAGGTAAAATTGTTGTTTGGGATTTGGTTTAACACAAAGTAGAATGTGCGCTCATTTTTTTGTGCGGTCAAACTTTTGTGCGGCACTCGGCTAAGGAACGAAAAGTATCTATTGACGGAAGGAACGAAGGGAAGCTCTACGGCGAGTTTGCTTCTCCTCCCCCGGCCCACGTTCGTAAGCTGGTGACGGTCCGTCGGATCACGAATGTCGACAAAGCTCACCGTAATTACATCAAACTCACTGTTGACGGCTGGACTGTCGGTGTCAAGCGTCCCAGCAAGGTCGATTTTAGGGCCGGTGACCGCTATATCTTCATGGAGCCGGATACTCTCCTCCCTGCCGACCATCCCGCAACGACATCGATCTTCTGCCGCATCCAATCTACGATGGCGTCGACCTGTAATTGTCGGAACGAAACCGTGTCCGATGTATCCGATCCCTGCCGCTCACACCGCATCAGAATACCAACAGGAGCTTGGGAAGGCATCGCAGTAGCATCGACCTCGCTATTGCTGAGTCTCTTCGACTTCGCTCAAGGACAATCTATCAAGATTTGGAGGACAATCTGTCCACATAATTCGCATTCGCCCCAACGGCCCCATCCTCAATTCAAAAAGTTGTTCGCTCAGGCCGGTAACCCCATCACTTACAAAGGCCGCTTTCTGCGTCTTTACGGATGCCGGACATTTTACTACGGAGAGAGCTAACACTGCTACCGTCGAAAAGGACAGCGACGACGAACCCCTCCCGGCCGAGTCCATCACGCCTCAGGCAAAGCGCGTGACCCCCATAAAATCGGATGGTTTTCCCACCCCGTCCTCTCTTCGTTATGGCCGAAATCTCCCTCCGATTCCGGTCACGCCACTGAACATTTCCACCGCGCCAAAGTAGCAACAGTGGACAGAAGTCAGAAAGTCTCTTACCTGAACGTGTAGGTGTGGTCCCCAGAACCCCGAGGGAATGCTCAACATGAACTTTGCCGGGACCCTTGCTCCCAATGTGAACCCTAGACAACTCGGTACCCGGTAGAGGTATTTTCGGTTCCAAATGGACCACATTCAACCGCGACATTACTCCATATCCCTCTGGTTGCTCTTTTGTCCCCGACGTCATTCCTAGAACATATCAACGGAGATGGCGAAGATGAGTGCAAGCGTTCAGGTCAATGTTTCAAGAAGCAAAGCACAACGGGAAACGTGTTTTAGCTAGATATATTGCTTTGAAGGAAGCACGGGGACCCGGGCGGAGGTTGTACTTCAGCGGCGAGCCGCTACTGAAAAGGCCCTTGATGGAGTTGCGCTTCTGGCTGGACTTGCCGAAATCCTGGAGGAAGGTGTCCCTCCAGTGCTGAAAATCGGCCACTATGGTCCGCAGACCGGTTACCGAGAGCCCGAGAGATGTCACCTCCTCCTTCACCTTGTCGAACGAGGCCTTGGTGACGAAGTTTCCGGTAGGGAGAACGGGGACGACGGGAGCAACGGGCTGTATAGGAGTAGCAATAGGGGCAGGGCCAGCGGCGGTGTTGGGGCCCGGGGAGGCGGTCCCTGTTCCATGTCCTCAAGAGACTGGTTAAAGTGCTTGAACCATGCTTCTGGGTCTGGGTGGTTGGCGAACTTTTCGGCCAAACCATTTACATGCTTCCACCAGGTCTTGTGGATTTGCGTCATCGATTTGTCGACGTTTTCCTTGACCGGGTCCATGTTTGGGGCGGCATTTCAACCCAATGTCCCAGATCGTGATGAAGATGACCCCTCCGAATGACCACCACAACGATTCCAGCCTATGGCACCTCCCATGGCACCTCCGCCCATACCTCGACGTCATCGTCCTCTGGCGGGGGTAGGGCCGGCGAAAGTGTTGGGGCCTATGAGGCGGGTGAGAGCATCGGCGTCGAAGCGGCCGCGACGCATTATGCGAGGGACGTGCTCGATGATCTCATTCATAGAGATCATGTCGTTACGGGCGGCAGCGTCTACACCCTTGGCCTTCGAGTCAGGTTAGCCCAGCGACTGCTAGTCGCGGTAGACTTAGCATTCAGTTACCGAAACGCGTTTGAACATGCCCCTGGAGAATACCCTTCGCCAAACCGGCATGATCGCGATGCTCCTGCCCGCCACGATGAGATGCTACCCCGGCGTGAGGGCGGCCATCGTCTGCATTTGGGACAGCAATATCCAGCCACTGATCGGTAATAGGATGAGAGAAATCGTGAGATATCATCGTTATCGAAGCCGTTAAATTTTATAATGCGAGCAAGTCGGATATGCTGCGTCCCATCACATACGACCAGCTCACTTTGAGGGCATATGGGGTCATTGCTCAGTACTTGAATACTACTCATGTCCTCTACTCCTATTTCGGTGACTTGCAACGCACTCAGCAGGCCGTAATCCAAAGCATCAAACCAGCCGGCCCCCGTGTCGTCGTGCCGTCAGCCACGGTGGATTTGACCGACCAGGAAGACAAAGCTGTGGCCAAAAGGCAGAGAACCGCGTCCGGCCCGGCCGCCCGGGCCGGGAACTGCGCGAGACGTTCGATGCCATGGCGCTCAACTTCAAGCAACAGCTTTTGTAGTCTGAGGAGTGACCTGGAGGAGTTGAATTCTCTTCTCGAAAGATAACATATACATGTTTTCATTATACACGCGTTGCCAAAGAGAAACCCTACCCACGAATTCCACGTTCAGACACACCGAAGTTCTACAAGCACACACCATTCCATACAAAACCCTTAGTCTTAACAACCCCTGAAAGCCCGGGATCCGCAATCATAACCACATTGGAAACCGGCGGTTTTGTCACTGGAATTTTGATCATTGCCATGTACAAGACATTGCACACCCCACCAACCTGGAACGAACTCCTCGACCATTCATGCCATCACTAACATACCTGACCGAGGCTCTGACTCTGAGTAAGCATATACCTAGTTTCCAGGACTAACAGTCTAACTTCGGAGTCTCTCTCCATCCACCTTTTAGCCCCGGAATAAAACCTGTCGAAAAAGATGGACGGACACGGTGGTGGCCTGATGTTGCCCTATCACCCGTGGCTCGGGTGTAGTGCGTTGCATTGACTCATAATCGTGCTCGCTGTTGCTGTACCCATCCTCCCACGAGAACTTGCGCGGGCTGGAGAACAGAGGCTTCGGCTTTCATCCCTCTTGGCAGGATATTACTCGGTTCGGGGCGGGCGCACGAAGGGCAGGAACCAGCTGCTGAGCGTAAGACCAGTCTTGATAACCCCCGAGGAAGTCGTTCGGCTCATCGTACTGCTGCTCGTTTTCGTGCTTGATGGTGCCTGGCCTCACAGCAACCCCTTCGCCGCGTCATACAGCTCCCATCCCTAGTCGGCCATCTCCTGTTCGGGATGGGGGATGACGGCGGGCGTGCGGGCAGGGCCCTCCGGCCAGGGACCGGCTGCTGGGACGTAAGCTTGAGGCACCGGTCCTTGATAACCGGCTTGGCTGGGATGCAGTGGGGTGCCGGGATCCAGCGGCCAAGGCCTACCTAGAGGTAGATAACGACGGAAAGGCAAACCCCGCGTCAAAGACGAAGGGATAGCACGAGAAGAAAGTTCAAAACGGGTACCTGTATACAGCATGTGCGCCTTTACCTTGGGCCGGATCACATCCTACTGGCCCAGAACACCTTCGGAATTATCCCGACTCAAGGATTGTGTTGGGCATGTCGAGTACACCATCTTTCATCATGTCATGCGAAAAGAAGTTTGTGGGTGTCGGTTTCAACTTTCCAGGTTGCGATGATGCGTTCTGTTTGACAGCACAGCTGTTATATACCCTTCACTATGCTGGAACAGGAAAGGAATATGTCTTTTTTGGTGAGTGCCGATGCATCCCAGGATGTTTTTGGGATCTTTGGGAGTTTCAAAGAGGCAACGTTGCATCGAACTGACGGACAAACCGGGAAGATAAGACCGGGTATGACTGGGAAAGAATGCAAAAGGAACAGGCGCACTCAAAGAGCCAGTCCAATGCTTCCGTTCTTCGAAACCTCGGATGGAAGACCCACTCGAAGCCTTTTCAGATGGACAGCCAGCGTCTGAATAAGTCCATTCACCGCTATCCCAATCATGCCCGGTGGGGAAAGCTGTCGGAGTGAAGGGAGGCAGTTACGTCGGATGAGAACTTGCTCGGGCCCTCCTTCCTCCACATCACCCGCCCAACGCAAATTCTTTTCCCACATTTCAGGTCCTAAAAATTTCTTCCACCTTTCAAAACAGGTAACTTGTTGTGGACAAAACCCGGAAATCGTCAACTCCGTGACACATCGCCAGATGATCTCGACACAATTTCTGCACGTCTACCCTCCGATTCACTCCCATTCTTCCTAGCGCGCAACCAGGCGCAACCACTATTACATTTTTTTTTCGGCTATCAATCTGGTAGCACAACCAGCACGAACAATGGACGTCGAAACCAACCGAAATTTGCGTCCGAGAAGCCCGCACAACTACAAGCAGGATGCTTTGTATGGGGCAATCATTGTCGGCACGGTTCTCTCGTCCCTTTCCCTTGCCCTCCGGATATATGCCAGGCGCAGCACCAGGACCGCAAAGCACTGGCGACGCGATGACTGGCTCATGTTCTTCGGTCTGCTGTGGAGCTTCGGTGTTATCGCCGCCCTAGCACACGGTTTGACCGTCGGACTGGGCGATCAGGCGTTGCCGAAGACGGATCACGACAAACTCTGGCTCCCAAGATCCAATGCAGCCATGTTGATGTTCCAGAACTTGTGCGTCTTTTGCGTCAAGGCGTCAATTCTCGACTTCAATACCAGCATCTTCCGTGGAAGTATGTTTCGGAAGGTGGCATGCGCGGTCTTCATTGTAACTGCCGTCAACTCTTTCACCGGCTTGTTGATCGCACTTTTACAGGAGATTGCTGTCTGTCCGCGACCTGACGGGAAATGTTTTGGCGAGAGCAAATTCGTTGTTCCACTCACAACTGGAATTATATCGACAGTATGCGACATCGTCATATACGCCATGCCAATACCAGTCCTGGCAAAACTCGGCGTGGACAGAAGGACTCGGATTGGTCTTTGCTGTGTGTTCCTCTTGGGCCTTCTTTGCATTGCTACAAGCTTTGCTCGGTGGGCTGCAATGATCCAAGACCACCCCATGGATCCAGTCACCATGCGTAAGTGCCCCCTTTCCCTCATATTCTAACCCTACATGAGCATGTACCTGACTATGCCACCCACTGAACAGCGAGTGACATTCGCATCGGGCTCTGGACGTACGTTGAGTTGTCGGCAGGCATCACCTGTGGCAACCTTCCTATCCTGGCGCCAATGTTTGGCTGCGTTGGCCCACGGCGCGGAAGAGGAACAGGTCGGTCGACCCCGCATCTCACGTCGAATTTTAACATTCCTTTTCAACGAAGTCACCAAGCGTTGAACCGCCCGGTCGAGCAGCAATCCCGTGATAATGCTGCAAACAACTCTGAACAAGCCAGGTCGTCGCTGCGGAAGACGGAAGCGCCCTCACCTTTGCACCTCTCTTTGACTGGGAGCGACATCGAGCTGAATGTTCTGTCGGTGCCAGCGGCGAGCAGTGCAAGCACAATGTCAGCGGAGCCACCCCAGACTCTTACCAGGTGTTCAAGTCAAAGGCTGTCGTCGGTTTTGGACAGGAGGAGGAGCAGAGCCGGGTTCGAATCGTTGGGTTGAACAGGCGAACATCATCGGAAGAAGAAGATTTCAAGAATACAGTGAACTGATTGTGGGAGTGCAAGAACAGCGGGATACAAATGACACTGCACAGGAGCTACGGACATCAGTCTGTTCAACTTCGGAATGCATCGCTCATTTTCTCGAATCCCAGCTGATGTTAGGATATATCATGACACCGCGAGCTCTCCACACCAACCCAAGGATCTGGCGAGCGTGTTGAAGTACATCGCCCAACCAATCACACCACACGGCTACTTCGAGCCAAATAGCCACGATCCTCAAAGCCTCTGTCGCCAGGTGAACCACCCGATGACCTCTCTCGTCCACGCAGGGCAGACAAGTCCTTCTATACTCACTTCAACTCCGAAAGCAACGCACACGGCACAATCACAACCCGAAAATTCATTTCCTTCCGCACAGCATCGTCGCAAACTTACTCCGAGCCGTCTTATCGCGGCACTTACTTGGAAGTGGTGTTGGAAGTGGTGTTGGAAGTGGTGCTAGAAGAGGGTAAGAGCGACGTGGAGGTTGCCTCCTTGATCTCCCTCTCTTTGTTGCTCTCAAATGAGGGGAACTGAGTGTAGGTGGACGTGGACGACGAGGAGCCGGATGTTCCTGAGGTGGAGGACGAAGAGCCAGTGGTACCGCTGGTAGTACCGCTGGTAGTTCCGTAGGTGTTATTGCTAGAAGATGTGTTAAGTGGTTGTTCCACAAAGAAGAGTTGGAAGCGGGTTATTGTGGAGATATGAGGGGGGCAGAGATGTTGTTGAAGGTCAAGTGACGGTCAATGATAACGGAAGGGGACAACAGGAGCCGAGAAGAAGTAGGGCAGTGGGAGATGGGAGACAAACCCAGAAATGTTTGAAGTTTGGTTGTGGTTAAGGGAACCGTAATTGACAAGTGTTGATGCGTTGTGTTTGAGGGAACTGTGATTGACAAGTGTTAATTTGCTTCGTTGTTTCTGTTTTGTTGTGTTGATGAGTGAGCAAGAAGGAGCAAGTGCTGTTGAACTGCTCTCTTTATGTCTTTTCTGGTACTGTTGCACCGGTCACACTTTCATGGAAGCAGCTATCAGGAGCCATGCTCCACGATTCAGCATCTCGAACTGTTGTGGTTATGTGGTCGTTGAAGACACACGATCGTAAGAGTTTGGGTTTGGCATTGCAGGTTTGTTCTCAGTTTTCTGTTCTAGCCTGTGAAGACTGGCTGATTGCGGACTCTGGTGTTGCCAAACTCGAAGATCCAGGCGTGAGAAGGTGAGGGATGGAGGTCTGGTTCTCTTAGAGCCGCACTTGTGGTTGGAGTTTGGGCAGAGCAACAATTTGTCGCTTACGTGTTCTTTGCTCTTTTGTCCTTCTCATTCTTTCCTTCCACATCTTCTACCCTGGGCTGGCATGAAAGTCTTCATGCTCAATCAGTTTGGAAAGCATCTCAGGGTGATGGTCTAGATTGTTGTGCTTTTATTCCTCGCCTGACACCACCGGTGCGGGAAGTCCTGTCCCATAGGAAACAGCAAAGTCAAATTCCACCGAGTTACAATCAATGTTGGTTTGTTGTTGGCTGTGTTCTTCAGGTGAACGCCGGTATAAAGAGCCCGAAAGCCTAGTATCTGCTTTGAGTCAAGGGTTATAGTGCCCAGATACCAGACCTAATTTCCCAGAATATCGCAGTTGAACTTCAAGAGGCTGACTGCTATCGTTCTTGCAACATGACGTTCAGCGCTGGAACAGACTGGTTGCCGAATGGGCTTCAATTCTCGGATCATCAACATAATTTGCGTCTATGGTTACAGCCGCTACCGAAGGATGGGGCAGATGCCTCTATTTTCAATGCTCCTCTTGAGGATTGTTTTGGTAGAATACCTGTACAGGAAGACAACAAACAATTGAAAGCCTATCTCCGAATTCCATTTGTTGATAACCTGCAAGACAAGAATCTTTGGGGATATGGACCCCCCACGACTCTTTACATCGAATCACTTGGCGCTCCAAAGGGGATCTTGGAGAAAATTGTAGACACGTGGAAAATCCCGAGGAGGCTCTTTGACGCGATCCAGAAGCCCGGGTCCTTCCCGCCGTTTTCATTCTTTGAAGAGGACCAGAACTTGCATATCGCGTTCAGATGGTCCTCAACTCCAGGATCTTATCTTATATTCCTTGGCTCAACTTCTTCCGTCCGCTGTATGCGTACCCATGAATTCACTAACGACGTCCGCACCGTCTACCAGTTCCGCAGCGTCTTGTCCCATCGGGGTGTTCTTACACCCACATGGAATGCGGATGTGATGAAGGGCGGCGAAGACGTCTTTGGCCGGACGGAATACTCACCTTCGAAGATGGTTGTCATGATGCTGGACCAGTGTGAGAAGCATCTTGAGAGCGCCATACAGAAGCGGGCTGAGAAGGTTGAAGAGATACAAGGCCTTCTATCCTCTGTGCAGGCAAAATCTCCTGCTTCAGGTGATGTTCGTCCTTTTGAACTGTACGCACGATACAGGGATCTTACCACTTCACTCTTTACTCTGAGGAACTCCTGCCGTAATCTCATGGAGATTTGCTCTGGGTTCGTGGCCGCTTCTAAGACTGCAATCTTGTCCAAACCCAGCGGCGATAGCCGCCTGTTCGATTTGAAGCTTTTGCGGGACGGCATCGAAAGAACACATTCCCGGCTGAAGTTTCACCTCAACAGGATCCATTACCTCGAGAACATACACATTCAATCCACGAAGAGCATGGCTGCCATCAAGCAACTTCTGTTCTCGGATCAAAACCGCTAGGTGGGAAGATGTCAGAAAGCAGCAACATTACATACGCATGGCACGCATGGCGAGAAAGAAACTGGAATGCCGAGGTTTCTCATATTGGCGTTCATGCAACAAGGAGGTTACCTAAGGGAAGCTAAAGATGAAGGACTGTAGAATCTGTTAGAACTAGCTGGTGTCGAGGGAAGGGTACATGGGCTTCAACTGGTGTAGCGTAGACAGAGCGGGATAGACACTCGTCACTCGCTGATGTAGAGGACACTGAGCACGATGAAAAGATGCAACATACAACAGGCTTCAGAACACTTTCCACTACGCCATTTGTGACTGTACCAGTGATAAAAGGGAAATCCTACCCACACACACCCCTTGCCTACACGCACACACCTTTTCCAGCCGTAATTATTATAACATTTTATAGTGGCCCTCTAACGCTACGAAACTTAGAGCAGTCGAGTACAAGAATCCTAACAATTCTTAAAGCTTTTTGTGTTCCTATTACTCTCTTAAAGACTCGTACGCTAACCTTCTCAGTTGCATTCATAGTGCCAGTTTGTGCAGCTACCCTCCAAGCACTATGTTTTGAGGACTTTTAGATACATTGAGACCTTAAATAGAGGCTTTCTTCTTAATGATCGGGACCTGAAAGTTTGTAGGGGAGAAGATGTGATTTATGATGGAGAACTTATGATGTTGAAAAAGGTGTGTGCGTGTAAGAAAAGGGTGTGTGTGGGTAGGGCTTCGCGAAGAAGTAAATGCATCCATTGAAATGTCTGAAGCATCTCGTCCAATCGGGGCTCGAAGTGGGAGCCATGTTTGAACCCTTTTCTTCCTCGCGGTCAAACATTGACACCACAAGAGGCTTGATTCCTCATGACAACTATGAGCATGACAACCAAGGGCAAGAACTCTAGTGTCATGATCTCGTACCCGGAGCGGATTGAGTTTGACTAGCTTGCTTGCTGTGGGCTCTACTAGCACTGTCTGCAATGTCAAGAGGAAGCAAGCGCGGTTTGTGACGCATCAGTTTTGTGTTTGGGAGGGAAAGGCAAAGGATTCATCTGGAAGAAACTCAAAAGCAGACACATCGTCAAAACACACTTAGCAACAACAAACTGCGGAGACAAAGACCATAGTTCTGCTGTATAAAGATCCTCGCATTCTCTCTAAGACTCTGCGACTTGTTCCAGCCAAAGCCACCCACCCAACACTACCGACCATCCGTACGACTGATCAAAGAGAAGAGTAACCGAAGCAGACACAACACCCAGCAAAATCAAGCAGAAACTCACCTTCAACACCCACGATGCTCTTCACCAGCACCTTCGACTGGGTCCCCCGTGGCCTGACCTTCACCCCCACCACCGTCGACCCCGACCTGCACATCCACCACGGCGGCCCCATCGAACCCGACACCATCCCCTCGCGCTACCGAATCGAAACCAGAACTCCCAACCCCTCTTACCTCACGCCCTCCCTCTGGATCGAGAGCATGATGAGCATCGTCACCCAACCCTCCAAATCCCTCATCCTCCTCGAGTCCAGTGGCCCGGAAGAACCCGGATTTGCTGCCCCCTACGATGTCATCCGCGCTGCTTTCAAGTCATTGGGGCTCAGGAGAGAGCAGGTAAGGAGAGTTATCGGCAAGAGCGGATCACTGACGGATTATTTCTTTTCTGAGACGGTGAGCGATGCGAGCGTTGAGCTTGCGTTTCGCTGGACTTCGATGCCAGGGTGTTATGTTATCTTCTTTGGAAGGTTTACCACGAGACTGGAGATGGGGGCGGAGGGGACGAAGAGGATGGTTGGTGTTGTTTCTCATCGAGGATTTCTTCCTATTTCTTTCGATAAAGCTGGTGTGGACACCAGAGAGGAGAAGACGCACGCGATAGAGTCTGACTATTTAATGGTGGCGCTGGACAAGCATGCCGAGGAACTAGACGAAAACCCGATGAGGGTGTTCACCGTCCTGATTCAGCTGTGTGTATACCACTTGGATGAAGAGATCCATGAGCTTGGCGTAAGGATAGATGGCACACCAATCGAAGCTTTTGCACAGGTGTCAAAGGAGATGGCGCCGGAGATTTGCGGCCTGAGGAAGGCTTGTAATGATCTCTTGGTTATCTGTGGCGGGTATTTGCATGCAGCAAATATCTAAACTGAAGGGGACAAGTACCCTGACGTACGTGGATGGATTGCGGAAGGATGTTCATGGGATTAGAATGTTGGTTGAACTGCGCTTGGAGAAATTGAACTACGTTGATGGGGTTTGTAGCCGTATGGTGATGGGTGCGGATTCAGGGAGGCGCAACAGGTTGATGGAGTGTTGAGTGGTGGATCTGGAGAAGTCAAGTAGTAGGCTGGTGACGAGAGACGAGAACAAGAAAGACTTTACCGGAGAGAAAAACTTCATCTATGAGAGCTCGCGGCCACTTGGGCAAGTCGTGAAATGACTGAGAAGAGTGTCTCGCAAGAACAACTCATGAAAGATCGCGCAATGGCTGGACGAGGAAAGAACAGCAACAACATCCAAACAGGCAAGTACCTACTCCAACAATCTGTTAGAAGGGGTAGTAGAGCGATCATTTTTACCATACTTAAGCATGGACCTCACTAACAGAGGTACATCCGTGGCCCCTTGAGACGTCCTCCCTTGATCCTTCCTCTTCCAGATCATAAATCTCGGGTGGCACTGCATTCACAATGCCAGCGCACAGCCCCTTTTCTCAGTCTGCGAATTGTGTAGGACCTTCGCACACCACGATGCTACTACAATGCCGTCCCCAGAGCAAAACATGCTGTTGAGAGAATTGCCAAGGGGGACTAGGTCTGATGGAGAAGCGGAAGCGATGCTTGACGTTGGGCTGTGGTGGTGGGTGCCGAAGACCCTCGGTGGTGGAGGTTAGTGTGGTACGTTGGGACGAGGGGGACACTCCAGAATCCTGACAAAAGGAAACATCTTGAAAAACTGGAATACCATATTTGCGTATCCTCCGCGCCGTCCCAAGAGATTATATGTCGGATAAAGCTTGTCGAAGCAGAAGAGGTGATACAAAAACATCAAGTGTCTTCATCTTCGAGCAGGAGCGACTTAACAAAGAGCTTAACTTACCGCACCACCCCTTTTGTCTACGCGCACCATTTTTTTCTTGCCGCACCATATATTAGCTGTTATAATTATAAGCCGTTTTCCTATAGAAATTTTGGTATTTTCAATGTTTTGAATATTATAGTATACTAAATTACAATATGGTGCGCTAAGTCAAAGGTGGTGCGCTAAATCATTTGGTAATATTTTCTAATATTAAATATAGGAAAGTAATAATTTCGTAATATTTACGTAGTATTAAGGCTCTATTTAAGGCTCTATTAAGGCTCTATACGGTTTTGTAAAGTTTAATTGAATTTTTTATTCGTCGTTTATAACTATAGAATTTAACCTATTATCCGGCTATATTTTATACAGATTAGGGTCTTCTACGTAATTTTCTAACGGGTACGTTTACCGCTCCTCTTCGTTTGTAGCCTCCTTTTCCCTCCTTTTAATTATAACCCGCCTCCTCTATTCTATTATAATATAATTTAGAATAGTAAGGTATTCCTTCTTAATATTATTGACGTCGATAATAGAATTTAACGGGAAGTTTAGTAGACAGTTTGGTTTTAGTTCTAGAGTAGGGCGTTTACGGAAAGTATATACTAGGCGGTTAGAGGAGGCAGTTAGAATTAGAACTCTCGCTTTACCTCCCCTCGTTTTATTTAATTCTTTAAATTTACCCCTTTCGTATTTTAATGCTTAATTTAGCTATTAGGTATTATTATTAATAATAATATAATTCCCTTCGCTAGTAGCCGCCTTTCGCTCGTTGGCCGCTTCCTCCTTATTAATTTTATCTAACGCTTCTAAATTGGGTCTAAAGATTTCAATTCGAAAGTAATTACGTTTTGTAGCCCTTAGGATACAGCTACTTCTTTTAATTTGCATTATATTGCGGGGACCCCTCCTACTAAACGAAGCGGGCTTTAATTCTAGTATAATTATTTCGTTATTAAACGGACCGTGCTTATTCTTGGGGCGCCCTTTAGGTACTACTTTTATTATAAATACTATATAAAAGTAAGGATCTCTATTATCAAAAGCCTCTTCTAAATATTACAAAAGATTATAATTAACAGTATTAATTAACGCTTTCTTAGGATTTTCTTTATTATACCGCTTTAATAATTCGTACATATAAAGTAACCTATATTAGATTATAAAGTATTATTATAGGTAAGTAAATTTTAGGGGTAAGGATTCTTCGTAATTCGTATAATATAAGAAGCCTTCTTATATTCTTCTATAAGTAAGTCTAACCCCTAGTTAGTAATTTAGAGCTTATAGTTACTTAATTAGTCGATTTTAATATAATCGTAGCGAACCTAGGTATTAAACGTAACGATACCCTCTTTATACGAATTATACTATTTTTTAATAATTATTTTAATTATATAATATATTTTATTAAAATCCGTATACACTAATAATCCCTCTACCTTAATACTAGCGTTAATCGACTTATTTAGGGAGATTATCCTATAATTATAATTAGGGAGCCGTTTAGTATAGTAATTAACCTACTCTCTTTTATAGGGTATAAATTCGTTATTGATATATTTGAGTAATCGAAGCTAAGTATCCTTAAAATTAGTATTTATAAATCGTTTCGCCTTATTAAAATTATATAGATTGTTGTTAAATATTATATATTATTAGTATATAAAAAAGGCGGTCTTCGTTTATATTACCTAAGCGGGTAGGGAGCTTATTTAAATTTACGTTTTAATAATTATACGAACTTTCTAATACGTTCGCTAGAGCTCTTCGAAATTTATAGTATTTAAGTTAAAATTATTATTATCGCTTTGCTAGAGCTAGGTAAATTAAGGTGGTTATTAGGAAGAAGAGGGTTGGGAGGAGGATTAGGCTAGTTAAATTTAAATTAATTAAAATTAGGAGTTACGCTTACCCTTTTAAGAGCCGCGCCCTCTTTAGGAACCGCGCCTACCCCTCTAATTACTACCCTTCTGTACCTTTACCTTCTTCTTCCCCTTCTAATACTTCTTAAAAGCGGTAATAACGTTATTATTAAAATATTATATATACCGTTGCCGCCTTATATTATTAAAAGTAGTATTTAGTATAACGATAAATTAGGGGTTACTATTTATAATAATAATATAAAACCGCCTAATCTTTATATCCGCTATTATATTCCGTAATTATTCAAAATATTATTTAATACCCCCCTCCTTGAATTCGTCGTTAATTAGGTATTAAAAGACCGGAATAATTATATATATAGAAATTATAATGACCCTTATAATTAACAGCTTATAAAATTTATTGGTTTTATAGGTCGTATTAATTATTAAAACGCTAGGGAATTGCTTCCAAAGCTTAAATTGCTTTATAAGGACCTAGAAGGCGGTATTGAATACTTAGTTATTATCTTCGTTTTTTTGGATATTAACCGCGGCGTAGGTAATCATTTTCTCCTTTTAATTATATTCCTACTCTTCGTTTAATATTTATACGAAGTTTTAAATATCTGTATAATTAGCTTTTTATTCTCTACGGGCGTAGTACTATATATTAGAATAATTTTTCGAATTGAGTAGGAGGTTTAGATATTTTCGCTTTATAAGTTACTTTACGGTACAGATCGTTAACTTTCTCTACGTAAGGAGATTATAGATATATTCCTTTTATTTGTCCGTAATTACTAAATAATAGTGGGGAAAACGGCTATCGAAGGAGTAGGAAGGTAATTATAATATTCGAAGTTAATAGGTATAATTATAAATATATTATTACTAATACGCTGAATAAAGAATTTAAATAAGTAATACTATATATTCTTTTTTAACCCGCGGCGACGGTAGCGAGTCTATATAGGTACGGGGTATTCGCGGCGCTTAATATACTTATATTATATATCCGCTATCGTAAAGAATTTAATGCCGTTAATAAAGCGAGAGTGTAGTTTAACTAATCCTATATAGTAACGAAATCCGAAATTGTAAATAGTAGTTTATATCGTCAAACTCTATACAGCACCTATAAAAAAGAATTTATTATTTATATCAATAGATTCGATCGGTTCGTTTAGGGTAGCGGTAGCTTTATTAATTTCGATAATTTCGACGGAAGCCTCGTTTAAGGAAGGAGAGGAATTAAGGGTATAGTCGCGGTCTCTAATATTGTTAGGGGAGGGATTAAAGAAATAATCGCGGGTAGTAGTAGTATAGAAGCTACTTATAGAAGAAGCTCGAGATAATTAAAATATTATAAAAATATAAGTAATTAAGTACGATTAAATACAAAGTACGAGCGCTTTAATATTAATTATTCGATTAAGCGCGGTCGATTTAGGGGCGTTCTATATAATCGGTTTAGGGTATATAGTAATATTGTATTATTATTGTATAGAAACGTAGCCTCGACTATACAGAAAATATCATACATAAAAATCGCTAAGTTTTTTCGTTAATATGGCTAAATGTTTAAAATATTTTATGGGCTGGTTTTACTATATAAAACGTGGAGTTTTATATGTTAGCTGTTATCGGCTGTTATATAGGGCAACCATGGTGCGGCAAGTTAAAATGTGGTATGCGTAGACAAAAGGAGTAGTGCGGTAAGTTAAGCTCTTAACAAAAGTGGAACCTCCTGTACCCCAGATTCCGGCCAGCCAGCCGCCAACCTCTCCCGGCCAAGACGCCGCGATGACACCCCAACCCCGAACACAACTAAAACAGCATGGCTATAGCATACCATCATATAATTAGTCTTATTTACTTAGCTACCTACGTATAGCCCTTGCGTTTCTCTTTGTACCTGCGGGTCCAAATGGTTGTGACATCCCCACCACACTCACCCACCCACCAACCCTAATGTCACACCATTTGGACCCACAGGGTACAAAGAGATTGCGCCACGTGTGGCGGCGGAGCGGATGGGGGCTGACATCGGAGCACGACTATTATGAGAGACTACATATAATGGCATCGTAGCATTCCTAGCCTCGCACCTGTCTCCGGATCATGAAAATATCCCCCATATCTGTCTCTCAAAGACACCGTCCCAAAAATAGAGTGATGGTCCACCAGTCTCGGAGACAAAGAGGATCTGGTGAGTGGAGGTGCAAAGAAGGTTCGTGGAGCCTCACTCGCAAATGCAGCCATGGGAATAGGCTGGGGCTGTTTTGCGAGAATGCCACCTTGTAATCATCCGAAAGAGGACGTTACCACCGAGTAGTCACCGCCCGTCACTAGGGCACGGTTTCATTCTGATTTTTGTTCGTGGAGATCTCGTCCGGCACGAAGCGACGCCGCGTGGGCGTCGCCCAGTCGCTTCTGTTGCTCA